AATGCCCCCCTCAAGGATTGAACTCACAACCCTGGGTTTAGCAGGCCAATGCTTAAGCCACTGAGCTATCCCTCCCCCCACAGTTAAAGTGCCGCCCCCCCGCCTCCGAAATTTGAAATGGCACCACTGTCTCTGATACCATTTCCTGCCCTGGAATTCAGACAGATCACTCACCGTCGGGCTGTAAAACCAGCAGGAGGAAGAGAAGGGAAGGCCGTCGAGCCCCCTCCATCCTGACAGCGAGGGGCAGGCAGAGCGGGCGGCCGTCAGTCCGTATAACGGGTGTCCTGACCCAACAGACCCAGAGCCGCAGCGGGTTGGCCGGCAGGAACTGGCTGAGTGGCCGATCCCTGATGGTGCCGAGGGGCTGCAGAGAAATGACCCGCCCCACAGCTCTGCAATTTCCCCCGCGAGACGCTCTTTCCTTTTGTGGTAAGTCGCGCAATGAGCTCAAAGCAGCCCAGGGCGCTGGGTTGGGGAAGGTTCCTCTAATTGCTCAGGGCGGCGGGTGGGTCTGAACCAGACACGGCTCCTGCGATATTGGATGGTTCTGTCTATTGCACCGGAGAGCCTCACACCAGGAATTCTCAGTTACCCTGGGGCCCCTTGACACGGCTCTGACAAAGGAAAAGGCCTTTGATGGGGCTCCCAGTACATAGACACCCACTGTCAGGGCCCTTTGCACAGCCAGGGTGCTGTGACGGGGGCTTGGCGTGAATGAGAATCTGGCCCTTCGTCCTGGGGGGCTGCGATCCCCTCTGAACGGAGGGTCTGTAGGTTCTCTGCTAGACAGAGGCCTGCCCAAAGGAATTGAAGGCGCCTCCCCATAGCTGGCAGCTCAGTGCTGGGACAGGGACACAAATCCGGATCGGGTGTGAGCAGCAGGTGCTAAGCATTGTGGGGAAGATGGTGACTGAGCCGGCGCCCTGAGGATAAGCATATTTCCACAAATCATGAGGAGTGCAACGTCACAGCTGGTAATTAAATGAAGGATCTGGAAGTGGTTAGAGATAAACCTGTAACACAGGAATCCCTGTGTGGGTGAGGGGTTGAGGAGAGAACTCAGGGGACTCAGAAGAAATACAGCCAAGCCCTGTGAGCCCAGGCTACATTCAGAACAGAGGAAGGTGTGAGGGGCATAGGTGAAAAGAAGGGGCCAAACCCCAGGGCAGGACTAGCAGTAGCACAGAGAAGTTCCCACACTACCTGTGGTACTGATGTGGCCCCATCACCGCAGTATCTGAGCATCTCACATCACAGCCCCTGGGTGAGGCAGAGCTGTGCTGTTCAACCCATTGTACAGATGGGCACTGAGGCACACACAGTCAGACTTTCACAGGTATTTAGGCACCGAGTGGGATTTTCAAAAGTGCCTAGAAGGTTTGGTGCTTTGTAAACCCCACTGGATGCTTTGGCAGCAAAAAACCTGGAGCCGGCCCTGGCTCCAGTGTCCCCTCTCGGAAATGGGGGTCAGAGGTCATTGATGTGGCTCCTTAAGTGAGTCAGTGTTTGAGATCAGGCGTGTTTAATAAATAAACTCCACAGAGTCCCCTTCCCCCAATATCTGCCTGCGCACGGCTCTCCTTGGGCCCAGGCTGTTGCCCATTGACCCTGCGACTCTGCTCTGGTGACACAGACAAATCCAGAGCAAACCGCTCCCTGCCTGGCAGGTTTACATGCTAAAATCTGCAGCCAGGTGGCTTCTGGGGCTGCGGGGGGCCAGGTTCCATTTGGTATCAAAGGCCTGGGACTGATGTAAAGGCAGCGACCCGATGCCAGCTCCCCACTGTGAGCACTGGGCAGCGCGATCCTGCAGACGGAGTTACCTGCACAAAGGTCCTTTGCAGAGGCCGTTGTGGAGCTGTTACTGGCGGGGTTCTGGGCTGTGCAGGTGACGGCCAGGTGAGCATCACGGGGGCTCAGAGAGATGTGCAGAATGGACTCATTGGGTACAACAGCGCCCCCTGCTGTGTGAGTCCAGCTGTAGGTCACATGCTCCCCTCCATCCCTGACTCTGCAGCTCAGGTTGTAGTTACAGGTTTCACTCACACAGGTCACTGAGTCACAGAGGACAGTTGGCTCCGGTACTGGCTCTGCCGGGGGGAGAGAAACGTGGAACGGGCTGAAATGTCCAGAGCATCTTGCGAGCCGCTGCCTGGATGTGCTGGGGAAGGTGAGCGCAGGGAGCTGTCTGGCTCCTCGCAGCACGGTTGGGGCAGGGGCAGGGGATTAGGGAGACTCTGCCCCAGCTGGAAGTGGGGGGAAGAAGGGAGGGATGGATTGGGGGTGCTGGAGAAGTGGTGACCAGGAGGCCCAGCCTTGAGCTAGTTGAAATTCCTCAATGAAATGTGTTTCTGTCAGAAAAGGGGGATTTGCTGGAATTGGGGGGATGGGGGCGGGGCCTCAGGAAAATGGCCGGGCAGGTGAGCCCTGGCTTGGGTGAAGGAAAGCCGCGTGCCAAGAGGAGTTTGGATTTCTGATGAGCCGGGGCCGTGTGGGGCGGGAGCAGTGGGGCAGCAGATGGGGCGGGGGAAGGAAGTTGCAGAGGAGAAGTGGGCAGAGAGGCAGAGCT